ATTTTTCCAACTAGCTATTACAATATCTAGATATTATATAAGAAATAACCTGGGCTACTAATGTACTACTAATGTACCTTTATATTATAAGTTATAATTATTATTTATCTCAAACTCAAGCAAATAGCATTGATAGACCAATGGAAAAGCCTAATGTAATATTAAAACAAATTCGGCTTCACTGTAGTCGTGACATTACTCTTTTTGAAAGTTACGGTAATCATGGTTAGTTAAAATTACAATTTGATAATTAAGAATTTCTCAAAAAAGCTAAATCGTTAATTTGAGTTTATTTTAATCTGGAATTAATTATCTATATAACTGATACAACTCATTTTGGATGTTTATTTCATACAGGTTAATATTAAGTTTAAAATACTGACAAAGTTTTTGTAAAGATGATAATGCTTAAAACAAAATTTATATAATGAATATTTAACAAAAACTAACTAGAGGTCAGCTTATTTAAAACATTAATAAACTACAATAATAAGTGTTTATGACCTTCTGTCTAAGACATACAAATTACAATATATGATTGAGGCATATTCTTTTGTTTGTGAGTATATTTATGTACTAATATCAGTGTTATAACCATATTAATTATCAAAAGTGATTATAAGATTATTTTTGTTCAACTTGTTCATAACGCCAAAAAATCATTATTACATTTATTGTGAATTAATTTGCAGTTAATTAATTGTGCGAGGAGTAGTAGAAAATAAAATTATTCAAACCAACAGATCCGTTAGTGAACAAGGTAAACCATACAGATGATAAAACGTGGATATGGTTGTATTTTAAATAAAAACTATTGCCAATCTTTCGACAGTGAAGGAATGAATAATGTTCAGAGGAAACAAATTATTTTTCGATATAACCGGTTACTAAGGCCATACAGTCTTATTTATATTGATTTAGTGTATGTGTAATTGTCTAACAGAACATGTATTATAAATTTTTTGAGCTTGTCAAATAGAAAATGTAATAACCTAATGGCTAATGGATAAAATGATAAAATGAAAATAGTTTATCAATGAGAAATAATTGTCCACTTGACGAATATGTAGAGAAGAACAGTTAAATGTTGTTGTAGTAGCTAATTTGGATGGACCAAAATAAGTAAGAAAGCTGTGATAACAATTAACTAATAAGCTTTGAAAACCGCAATACAATGAAAGACCAAACATGTTGCTTTGGAACAGAGATTAAGCCTGGAAATCACTTCACTGACCGTTCCAAGATGGCTTTCTATGTAGTGATCCTTGTAACTAATCATTTAGTTTTCCTTTCACTGAAGCATCCAAGAAATGATATTTTAAGTTGAGTTCTGATTCGTGGTAACTAGTGATCTCTTTGAGTTTGATGTTTTCGTCAGAGAGATCAAAATACCTTCTAGAAAGCTCTAACGTAGCTGAAAAGTGTTGATGGTTAGTCCAAATACAGTATTTTACAAATTAAATAATTAGCCAAGTTTTAAGATGAATATTGAAACAATATTTTTTAAATTTTTAAATACTTCCTTAAAATCGTTGATTATGATACTAGTTTGGTTTATATTATTATTAGTTTTGTAAACTAATGTAATCGTTATTAAATGTGACAGCAATGAATACAATATTACTGTCTTCTTTACACAAATAATCTATTCTAATCAAGATTAATTCGTAAAAAGGAGTTGATCATAACTAGGTCACAATACAATACTATCAGTTATGGTTACTTGGATATAATTTACTTGAAAAATTAGGTTCCAATCATAAATAAAAATTAACTTTTGCACTAATCAATGTTTTTTTTCTCTTCTTTGAATACAGATGAGTACTTTTTTAAGCGTAAAACCAAGTCCTCCATACTAGTTATTATGATAATGATCACGTGTCTGATTATGTGCTTTTGTTTTTATGTGCATGTTATAAACTAAGCGTTTTTGCCGCAAATATATATATATATATGCCGTAATTTATAAACCGCTTTATTCTTTGTTGCTGTCAAAAGTGTAATTTAACAATCAATAAATCTTCACTTCAACGTGAAAAAAAGATTACTGAAACTATAATTTATTTAATTATAACTTTTTAATTAAGTGGCCGATGAATGAAGGTAATGGAAAGACTGTTATTCAAAAACAGTATAATTAGTGGAGAAAGATTACTGCTGAAGAAAATCAAATGCTATGCACATGATGTGATTATCACCAACCAGTTACACAAAGTATGAGTCTGTCGACTTAAAAACTTAGTTCTTCAGCTTGAGACAATTAGATTATTATCTTTAAAAAGAAACTGTCAAAATGTATTATTCTCAATACTTCCTATTTTCAAGTTTATTAGAATGAAAAGATTTTTCATATCCAGAGCAAAACAGTATCTCAATGTTTAATTATGTGAAACCTACTTAACTTCACAAACGAATATCATCCGAAGAGGTTAAAAATGCAATTTCTCTTAGACAGCTTGTACATTAAAAAACATTTGTTAATAATTGATTTTTTCCTTTCATTCAGTTAAGTATTTTTTGTGTATTGGTTTTTACATCTAAATGAAAAAAGTAGAAGATTCTCAAGCATTTGTATCCTATCGTCCTTAGCTTCTTGAGTTCTATTTCTGAACAAGTCATCTAGTAACTATAGGCAATAGTTAATTAATTGACTCAACGAATCCATATCCAAACAATAACTGGTCGTGTTCAATCCTGGATTTCAGCTACTGAAAAAAAAACAAATGATTACAAATAAAAATTCAAAAATTAATTTGTTGATCAGATCGTCATCATCAAGTGATAGTCTTTTTAGAAATAAATTATGCATGATGTTAATATTACCGATCTGATTTATTATTCTTAAAATACACAATATCAAAAGGAGTGTAACAAGATACATTTAGAGAGGGATTATTAAGTATTCTTTGGAAATTTTCAGACAATTCACCGTGTATCTTAGACTGTCTGTCTGCATCTACTGCGTGATCGTAATAGTACAACTAACTAGTCAACTACATATATAAGTTTTTTTTAACCTTGAACTGATGCCACCTAATAACCGTTGAAAATCATCTAAAAGCAAACACGAAATCTTCAGACTTTAAGGTGATGATAAATGCGATTATTCAATTATACCACTTCTTCTTCGTTTCTTCAACTGATTTCAGTTCTTGAAAAAAAAGTCGCCTTCAACATGTGGCTACACCTATTCACAAGACCAATGAGCTCAGACAGTAATTGTGTGATAAAGTAGATTTCTTAAATCATCTTTTGATACATATACAAATGATTATCATAACAAACAGTTATATATATATATGCCTACAATTTAGTCTACACAAAAATTACGATATAACTAATAAGAGCTGTTAGTATTATAATTTACACAAATTGGGATGCTTATAAATTTTAATGCATTTGAATAGTTTAGAACTGAATATGCTTTAAGAATGTTCCACAGTATTTTGAGGGAAAATGTAATCAGTTCACTAAAATACGTAGATAGTTAGTATTAAATACCGAAATCCATTGTTATTCTATTCGTAAAAGGTGATTTCTGAAATAATTTTCTTCCCATGTAACAAGATTGTGTTATTGTTGAATATGAGATTGATCACTAAGAGTTACTCATGAGTGTGCTGTAATCAGATACCAAAAGTGCATGGAACAATGTGTATACAGTAGGATTTCTCTCTACTGACTAAAATTCACTTACATTCATAAAACATACACTAGCACTTATGGCTGAATGCAATCAGAAGAGAATTTAATTGCCTCATTCAACCATCAATCATTCAGTTTGTATTATTCTCATATCACATTAATCGCTCATGCTTCAGGCATTTGACTACATTTAAAAAAAAGTCATTTATCAAAACTCAGTCTGAGGTTTCGTAGCATATTATACATTTTTTTCTGGTGTTCACTTTTGTCGATTCAGTTCATTACTACACAGTATTCACGTGAATAACATTATTGATACTGATTGAAAAATATTTCATTACTGAAATCATGAATCTATGGATGTTAGACCACCGTTAGAAACTTGGAAGGTCTAACCTGGTGGTCTCACATCGACCGATTCATGATTTCGATGAAACTCGACAATCTCCACAACTCTATTATGAAAATATTTTATTAGATGAAATTTCAATTTCACTAGCCAATCAAACCAATATAGATGATGGATAATTCAATCCTTATGTTTTCTGACATGATGGAATGCACAAGTATTGGTTAAGATAGTCTACTGAATGATTATATATATATATATATATATATATATATATATATATATATATATATATAACGGTGTTAACGTTAGGCGTTCGCCTACAATACCGAAGGTCCTAGGTTCGAATCCTGCGGGGTGCAGGAGTCGTGGATGCGCAATGCTGAGGAGTCCCATACCAGGACGAAACGGCCGTCCAGTGCTTCCAGGTTTCTCTAATGGTGGTCTAACATTGATCGGTTCATGGTTTCAAAAATGTGTAACTAAACAATCTTCACAACCCCGTAATGCATATATATATATATATATATATATATATATATATATTTATATATATATATATATATATATATATATATATATATATTGATGTATACTAACTACACAGATATAAGTACACATTATCTGCATCAATAGTTAATCTTCATTTTTAAAAAATAAGCTATTTTTTAATTATTAAATGTTTGACTGTCAAGATTAATAGTAGATTTGACAAATACATACATAGCATCGTCTAGTTTAAATATACAATGAATTTGCTTTTCCTATATCATAGTGTTTTATTTGAAAGGATGCAGATTTAACCGAGCCATAAAAAATATAAACAGCTGTTTAATGTTAACTGCAAAGTTGTCTGAAAATCTATTACAAATACATACACATTTAATTGCAATGGTTTAACTTTCGAAGTTATGTAACTTAGTCTCGGTGCAACATAATCAACATCAAGCATAATCGTGATAGATTTGATAAATTGTAGTTCTTTAAATCATTTTCAAAATTTTAGGTTGATCGAATATCACCATCACTTGTGCCTAGTCCAACAGCCTGTGCTCCTGCATCATCACCATCCGGTTTTATTAGCAAAAATCAATCTGGAGTACCATCGCCTATGGCGAATACATCTATCCTACCAAACTCATCGATATCTGGACTTCCTTTACATAATTTACCGGCGAATTCATCTTCTACTTGTAAAAATGCTCAAAATCGTCTAAGATCAACCTCTGTTGTAAATAATAATAATAACAATAATAATGGTAACAATGGTAATGATGGCGATAATAATCAAAATATTGTATCTATTCATCGATCTCATTCGAATCAATTACCTTATCCTCATCATCAACATTCAAACCAAGCAAATGAACAGTTACAAACATCCAGTGGTATACAACATCAACGACAACATTCACAAGGTCTCCCTGTACAATCTCAGCCCACGAGTCAATCGCTTGTAACGCATTTTCGGTTGGTTCTTTTAAATTAGTCATATTAAATATATGTATAATTTTCTTAAATAATTAGATGCTTTTGCGAATGTCACACGAAATGCTTCCGACTGACCAACTTTCTTTAAATGATTTAAAGAAATTTTTAGAACAATGAAACAATTATACTCTGTTTAACGTTAAATTTTGCTGATTAAATCAACTGCAATAAGTAGCTGTTGACGGTTCAGCTTGTTTAACGACTTCACTGACATACCCAAACAAATTAGTTTTCAACAACTGAAATTTTCAAAGACAGAACTCAGCGAAATAATTTATCATAAATCGTTTTTAAAATATTCATAAATACCTTATTTCAGATTAGAATAACTATCGAACAGATTATCGGTTTTAGACTTGACTGAATGATGCTTTTTCAGCCGAACACCGTTCAAATTGGTGATGGAAAATCATTCTACTATGCAAAATAATAAAATAAGACTTGTAAATATATATTTATTTTAGCCAGTTATTAAACCCTCATTTAAGTGAATTTTGTATCCCAGTTTCTATGATAAAAATATGTATTTACAAAAACCCTATACTTATGACGATTATGTACTCATTAATGACCCGCTTAAAAGTGTAATTCCTGAAGTTCCAGTGAGAAACCGTGACTAGTGAAGTTCATTGCGTGTCAGATTTGAAACAGTTATCCATCTCAAGAAATAGATTGATTGAAGTTGGATAGTAACACCTCTGGAAGCCGGCTCAGTGATCTAAATGTAAAGCGTTCACGTGTGAAACCAAAGATTCTGGATTCGATTCCTACGTGTGGGATGGTGGATACGCAGTGCTAAGAAGTTCCATGCAAGCAAAAAACGGTCATCCAGGGCTTATCTGTTTTCAGTGGTCGCCTAGTTAAGATCCGTTCATGATTCCAACTATGAAAATTTAATCTCCACCAATCCCATATGCTAATAAATTAATTTATCAATTATGTATGAATAGTTTATTTTATGTTAGATCAGTAAATCTTTGTAAAATACTTTAGTGTGTGTTTCAGTTTGATGGCTGACTATCTGTTAAACGATGATTTGAAGTTATTCCCTTACAGGAGAACTATCATTTCAGTAGCGGTTTCAGCAAACAAATTCGCATAAATTAATATTTAAAAATAAGTAGAATAGGATTATACATATATATGTCATCTCTAACTATACATTTTATCAAACCGTTTTAATTAAAAACTGTTTATTTAGCATCCTTTTCCTTAGTGTCTTTAAGTTATTAATAAAGTGAGGTTCAATTGGGACGAACTTTGATCGATCAACATTTCCGACATATATTTCCCATTAAAATAAAACTCGTATGATTGTGATATCTTTTAATAATGCTGTTTACTAAAATATGAATCTATAGATGTTTTGAAAATGTGAATGAGGTACTATTTAATCACTTAATGAGTAACTTTAATATTCATTAAAGAACAGAAGCTACAAACGATAAATCAGTGAACAAAAACGTTAATGTTCAACAACTTTTAAAGTCATGACTCTTGATATGTATAGATAACAGCATTCGTTCCAATGCGCTATGCCAACTAGATTAGCAGTAGATTAATAAAAAGCGAGTAGTACTCGAATTAGTATACAGTATTAGCACCTAAAATAAATAGTTATTAAATTGAATTTAATAGAAATAAGTAAATTTTCTCGATGAAATTACTTAGATAATCATAATCTCACTGTGAAAATTAGAGATGAACCTCAATTCAGATAAATCACAAGCATCCGTATTTTATTCTCGTCTTAATCTACAGATTTAATTTCCCAAATGTCGCTGGTTTTTTAATGGAAAATATTTCCTGTAACAAATTTCCCACCGAAATTAATACCATCATTGTTTTCACTTCATTGAACTTATTCTGTTAAGTTGCTCTTTCTCGTTGTTCAAATTGTCACAACATAGACTGATACATACATTTGAGTTATGACCCACTTACATTGTTCTTTTCTGAAACACTTCAACACTATAGCTGTAACTGAACGATTAGCTGCAGCCAGAACCCTAGTTGAAACCAAGACACAAATTATTTTTCCACTACTTAAGCTGTGAAATGGAACAAAAAAATTAACCTAATTTATTCCATTTTGCCCTATCAGTTTGATTTTTTCTATATTTTTCTTTTCACAATGATTAATGAACAACAACTGTCAGTAAATATTTTGAAATATTAAAACGATAATTCAGACGAATATTATTTGATCAATGTAATTGGGCACACTCTGTCTTAATTCATTAGGAACTAAGAACTTAGATAATATACAGGTTTATTATCATTATTCAAAGTAGAATGTACGTTCTTTTCTTATTGATGATTCATTGAAAAATGTATAATTTTGGAGAAAATTAACCCTTATCTACACTCACAATAACAATTTATAGTCTATCTGAAGTGGTTTTACTGGAGCTTGTCCAATTAGCAAGTTGTATTCGTCACAAACTAATCTCAATTTGATAACTATTAAAAACTAACAAACAGAGTAGTTAGCTATATTACGCGACCATCATCAATTGTCTTCGGTGGGTGCCTACCTGCTCACATAAGCCTGAATCTTGATATCAGTTCGTCACAGAACGCTACCATCATCCAATATAATCACAGTCATTTATGTTTTTGTCTAACTTAATTCACTTCAAAGCACTTAAATTTTTAAAAGAAATTAAATATCATTATTTAAGTATGCTGTAAAGTCTACAGAATGCTTTACGAATAATTCCGATGTAGATTGAAGTGATGATTCCGTGCACTTACTAATTCATTCTACTGATACTGCTATTTCCTCTACAGTTACTCTATAACTAATGGTTGAGCTACAAACATATTGACAAATGGTTATGACCACAAAATTTTATGTATAGTTTGTTTTCGGTACCTTTCCTATTCATAATTCTTTGGCTATACTGTGTTTAGTTCTTGCAGCCAGCCCGTTTCAATGTCCAGTGGTCGAGATTGTGGTTCCAGTGCAGGTATAATACGAAATTCGAACTCATCAAGTGTATCTACAGCCACAACAACAGTAATAGGAACTCTGGGTCAAACTCAACTTCGAATCCCTGGGAGTTTAGGTGGTATTCTATCATCAAGTTCTTCACTTACAGGTATATGTGGTTTGAATGGTCAGCAAGGGTGCGTTACTGGTTCCATTAGTACATCATCTGGACAACTGGTGCAAGGACTTGAATGTTTAAGATTAAATACATCAGTTACTTCAACAAGTGCATTAAATAACTCCAATCATGTACTACTTGATCAACAACAAATCCCTAAAACACAAAGAGTTCAACAACCCCAATTTATTCTGTCAGCTAACTCCGGTTTAGTTTATGGATCAAATATCAATGCAGCTACAGCACGACTTGTTGGCACAGTGTTACCTACTACTCCCCAACCTGGTAATCAACATTCACATCAAAGCAGTATGGATAGTGGTGTGGGTCAATCATTAACAGGTCAATCAAACCCTAGTGCTAATCAAACTCCTGAACATACTGTCATGCTATTTTGTGATCCAAGTAAGTCAGGTTAATTGTTAAAAAATTTGCAAAATGGGTGTAGCCTATTCTTTAAAATAGATTTTCTTTTTAATGTGAATAAAAAATTTGAGATTAGAATTAGAAATTCTTATGACATAAGCATCATTTTATCTTCCATGTGATGCTAGACTATCATTAAAATTAACAACTTGGCAAAAAAAAAAATAAAATTGCTTAGGTCGTTTCATAACAGTTGTCAGCTGTTTATTAAAATAAACATGCTTATTTAATATATTCGATAATATATTGATTTAGCATAGGTTCTATTGCATGTGAAATTAATTGACTTACTGAGTACATATTTATTTTAAAAATTATTAGACCAGCCCCTCATCTCATGTATGTAATATAACTTATAACAATGTAGACAACTCAATTACAAAATAGTTTGTCTGAAGAAATTCTTTATTTTTCATGTATTTCGCTTTTAACGAATAATTGACGCATAGATTTATGTGATACAATGCATTAGCAATACGTATAATCGTGTGTGAACTGTCTATCAATAATCACTATTACAAACGTTCAAGTGAAAATCAGATGGAAATCTGGTGAAGAATGTATTAATATGTTCGTATTTCATGATATTTAATTACGTAACATTATGTAAGTAGTAATGACTGGTCTTTTTAGTTGAAAGAACTTAGATACTTACGTATTTGACATTAACTCTTAGAAGGCTTAAAAACACTTAAAAAATATACAGTTGACCTTAACAACGAAGTACACTGATGAATAAAAAGAATAACAATTGCGTAGGATTAACAACAGTCTGTAGATTTAGATAGGTTTATCAAACTGATGAACAAAATTTCCACTTACACTATTTTAATAATCAGTATTTAATGAATTTTACCTAGAAGAACAGACATAACTTCAATTTAATGAACTTCTCTCTTAAATATGGTATTTTTCAAGAGAAATTTTTTTTCTAAATACTTAACTTACAGTATGTATTTCATCGACAGTTATATACTGCTTTAACATCCCCATTAGAACAGTAGAAATGATAGATAACTTAAAACTAAAATTGCAGACATGTAATCGTAGGTAATAGCTCATATTAGAAAGAGACAAACAAAGGTTCGTTGATTCTTTTCTTTTGATACATATGGACGACATTGCTTTTCTAAGTCAAATGTGTTTTTATGGGCTCATGATATTAAAAGTTAATAAGTGTTTGACTGATTCAGTCCTCCTTCTCCAATGTAGTATTATAGTTGCTAGTTTTATAAATATACCTACAAACAAAAAAATCTGGAATAAAGTCTTTGTGATGATTGCTATCGATCAACCTATGATAGTGTTGAAGGATAAGGTCAAACGGAATGATTGCTTTGTGAAGTTTGCTGAACTACTGTCTAGTGTACATTATGAATTGATAAGCCTTTTATACTGATAATAAGCATAATCATGACTCATGTCGAGAACTAGTTCCCCGACTTCGAGCGAAGGCCTTGACCGGTGAATATTAATTATTTCGGATATGTGACATTTACCCGCTGGTTAGAAAATGACTGAGTAATATCGCTGATCAATTGAAGTCAGTAACGTCAGTAGTTTGAACATAAATTATTGATCTCGAAACTTGAAGGTCTTAATTTCAATCCCCGGTGGGATTGTGGACATATATTTCTGCCAGGGAATTCCTTAATATAACATAACAGTTATCCAATGCCTCCTGGTTTAGATAACTGCCAGGCTAAAATCAATCAGTCCGTTAAGTAAACTATGGATATAGAATGTTTGCATACAATGCAAAAAGTAGAAGTGCAATAACAGTAGACTTTAAATTTTACCTTATAATATGAAATAATATAATAGCTAATAAGTACTTTTAGTCTGTTTGTGTATATACATCATTACAGAATAGAAAAACATTTTGTCGACTATCAGTTGGTTGATTAATCAGTACTATATTATTCATAACAAAAATTCAACATTACCTATTTGTTATTGACTATGATCAGTAACAGAATATTAATTTTATAATTAGTTGAATTTATGTCTTTTTCTTTAAGAAAAAAAAAATAAAAATTAATAAAGAAACAATCAATCTCAACTTCATGTTCACTACTCTATTTTACTAGAATACAAACTATTTATATACAATAATAATAATAATAACAACCATAAGTTAAATACTAATAGAAATTAAGTCTTTATTTTATGTTATCATTGGAGAACACGTGACACATCATTTTATGCACTACTGTTTTATTAATATTGATCAGATTACCATTACTAACTTAATAATAAAAAAAAATTCAAAGCAAGTTTATTCTGTTTTTTTCTTCCACTATATACAGACGTATTTTTAGTCAATTGTAGAATAATAATAATAATTCGAGCATAAATGTATACATCGATTTAAACGACTATATTTTACAGTGAGACGGTTGAATTATCTGCATGAACAGAAAATTAAAGAGTATGAGTATTTTGAAACGGTACAGAAAATCTATAGTCTAGATGTTGTGTCCCCTGAGTTGGATGGTTTAAATGTGAACCACTTTTTATTGTTCTGCTTTTATTTCACTTGAAAGTGAAGTGAAAATCAAATATAATTTACCAAAATAAAAATTAACTTATGATCATCTAATTCAAAAAGAATTGAATAAGTTTAAGAAAAATAGAGAGAATACGGAAATCACATTATAACTGAAGATTTATTTCAATACAAAAAGACAGTGCCTAGTCATATCAGATTTCTAAATAAAAATTACAATGATTCGGTACAATGATTCGGTGAACACTAACTAACAATTATAATAACCGGTATTAGTGATCTACTGTCTAATGGTGTAAATTATTCAATAGTTTCATCAATATGATCAGCATCAGTAACTTTTTTTCATGAATAAAGACAGTTGAAACATTCTCATAAATTTCTATACTCATTATAGATATTTAGAAATCCTTTAAATAAAATGATGAAATAGAAAATTCTATGTATTAATGTTTATTTATTTATGTGTATACAGTAGAATAAATCTATGCACATTATGTATTTTATTTAGTTGATTCATGAGTTAAGAACTATGAACTAATTGTAGACTTATTTATTTTTATTTAAAGACAATCTTACATAAAATGGAATCAGTTAACAGACAAATTATTTTTTAACCCAATAATACAATCATCTATTGTTTGTTAATTATTAATTGTTAGTTGATTAGATGTAGTTCAGTTAAATGTCATTGACTATTACAAAACAAATAAACTAATAAGGATATAAAATGAAAATTTTAAAATTTAGTCCTCAAAATGAAATCACAATCCTAAAAATTTCTAATAAGTTCTGCTACGAAAGTATAAATTCAAACAACTGATTATCAAACTACTTTATACAAGAAAACTGTGGGTGACGAATGAAATTACCACATAACAATGGCTTAAGCAGTGGATTTCTGTAGTATTTACGGAAACTCATCCCGTCTGGCTGTGAATAAGATGAACAGTGGAGTAAGCTTAAGCTCAGGCAGATAAAAAGCCTACGCAACCATCGTGAACGATGATTTGTAGCGAACTCAGGAGAGATTGCAAAGGCAGCGATGATAGGTAACAGTGAACTACTATTCAAATTTATCAAGGAAACCGGTATTAGGAATCCGACTGTAAGTAAGACTATCTCGTAAAAAGATGGGACTACTATTCGTTCTCAGGCCGGGAGACTGGATCGATAGACAGAACACCAGGGATCAATACAACTGGTCTTCAGCCACACTCCCGTTACCCGCGATCTCCAGTCAACCTGAATAGCAAATCGACGTAAGTTTTCCGACTCTTTATGAAGTCGAAAAAGGCATAGGAAATCTAAAGCGAGGGAGAGCAGCAGCTCCTGTTAGATTGACCTATGAAATTTTCAAGGATGCTGGTCCAGTTTTAACAGTTAGATTGGCCTAGAGTTTATGCAGAATTTGGACGTTATTTCATTCTGACTGATCTTAGTCACTGATTATCCCAATCTATGAGAAAGGACAAACTTGCTCTTGTGACAATCACAGAGGGATCAATTCAACTTATATGGCGTCTAAAATATTAGCTTCAATAATAATTTGACGCCTAATAAGATCTCGTGAATTTCAGACTTGATAAAACCAGACTGGTTTCAGACCTGGACATGGATGTATGGACCAGATATTCACATTCCGACAGGTCCCGGAACACAGATACTCATTTCAACACCCTACAATAGTTCTATTTCTTGACCTTAGGGCGGCTTTTGACTCTGTTGATCGTGAGGTTCTGTGGCCATGTTTGCCACTGAAAGGAGTACCAGAAAAGCACAATAACCTTATACAAGCTCTACTCCAACAAAACTGGCCGAATGACAGCTTATAGGGAAATGTCATCGCAGTTGATTAACTCAAGTGGCGTTCATTAAAATTGTCTCCCTCCTACTATGTGGGTGCGAAACATGGCCGGTAAGAGTTGGGGGTAATCGTCGGTTAGTAGTATTCGGTCATAGGTGTCTCGGAAGAATTGCTCGTATATTCTGAGACCACCGAGTAAGCAATGCGGTTGTTAGGAAAAGAGTGAATAGCTGACTGATTTCAATGACTGAATTATTCTAACGAAATGTTTTTAATGAAAAATTTTCAGGCATCTTATATTTCATTTAATCCATTCATTTATTTATTCCATTCTCTTGCCTTATCCACTGAGTTTAAAACCAAGGAGATTGAGTTAAAAAGTGAACAAATCAAATAAACAAACGATTAATGACAATATTCACCACAAACGAAAGTGGTTAAATAACCTTTTTCTTGAAATGTATTTAGTGTAAATGGATTCGACAACAGATTGATGCAACTGTTCTATTTGTCGTTATGAATGAATAAATAATAATTAGTTGTTCTGTAAAATTTAAAAGGCTAATTTCATATTTTTGATGTAATCAAAACACTATAATTAGAATGTTGACAGGCATTGATTTCTTGTATTTAGCTAATGAAATATACTATACACCTTTTAAT